TCTTTCTGGAAAATAAACATGGTGTTTTGCTTAGTAATTTTGAGTGAAAATTCAAAAAAAGTGTTAAAAACTCAACTATCTCAATAAGTATATCTATATTTTTTAAAGTAAAAAACAATTTCGGAAACAATTAAAACGTTAAGAAAATCCCATGGACTTTTAACTAGAATCCTTTTCAAGTAATTTCTACAAAGGAAACAATACTTGATACATTCTATATCGTTACCTATGCAAACACATCATTATATAGCTACACCCAACCGTGGGATGTAAGATTCCCTTACAATTAACCACTTCATTCGAGCAGTTAAAGAATCAGACCACTCGAACTTTGAAATAAAACATTATTTTGAGATTTTTTCTTCTAGAACCTCGAGAAAAGTAGCCCACATTTGTGCGTTTCATAAAAAATAGAAATTAGTTGGTCCAGTTTAGTGAAATTGCTGGTAGAAAGTCACGCCAAAACTGCTTGAAAAAGTGGTCAATTATGTGGGATTTATCATCAGAGGATGTTAGTGGAGACCGCATGAACCGATGATGCTATATACCGAGCTGCGGTCAAATGCAATTTGTTTCTACGCAAAATTAGTCAAAAAATACCATGTATATTTTTTCCAGAAATACCAAACTTTTTCTCAGACGTCATTTCGATCATAAGTGACGTTCTCGTACTAGAATTTATTGAAAAATTTCCAAAATAACCGATTGCCCATAACACATAACACTGTGCAACAAATCGGATTTTTTTTTTTTTCTAGGACTTAGAAAGTTGACCATATTTGACTTTCTTGTAGACTTCTGAGTAAAAGTTCTGAACATACCTATATCCTAACACGTCCTAATTCTCTGGTACCGCCCTCTTTATGAAGTTTGGTATGTTGTCCCGATGTCGGTCGTATACTGCCTAACTACTGCCGTCCTAGAGTTTGTTGTAGAAAATTACTTGAGGAACATTTTTCTAGAATATTTAAAAACGATATCTCGTTGTCTTACCCCTCTTTTGGGTGATTTTTTTTTTAAATTGGGTACCCCCCTAAAATCTAGCATTCATGTAAAATACCTGTATAGCCTATATTATGTGCCAAATTCGAGCGTCTGTTCACCATGGAGGTGCGGCTCAAAACGGCGTTTGTTCTCCATGTTAGGAGCGACTGATCACCGTCCTAGTGCCAGCGTGGGACTCTAAACAGAGCTGTGCACGATGGTCCCCCGGTGAGAGAGGGGGTTGGGGCAGGCCCAACAAGCCGCCCTGGAAAAAAAAAACATAAAGTTGCAAATACTGAAGAAAGAAATACGGATATGAACAATCGGCACAGACCTACGCGACTACGATTGGAAACTCGGAACATGGAACTGCAAATCGCTCGGCTTCCCGGGCTGCGATAGGTTAATCTATGATGAACTTCAACCACGCAACTTCGAAGTCGTAGCACTGCAGGAACTATGCTGAACGGGACAAAAGGTATGGAAAAGCGGGCATCGAGCGGTTACTTTCTGTCAGAGGTGTGGCACCACCAACAAGCAGGGAAGCGACTTTGTAGTGCTGGGTTAGATGCGCCAACGCGTGATTCAGCCGATCAACGCGATGATGTGCAAGTTAAGGATTAAGGGCCGTTTCTTCAACTACAGCATCATCAACGTGCACTGCCCACACGAAGGGAGATCCGACGACGAGAAATAAGCATTCTATGCGCAGCTGCAGCAGGTTTACGACGGTTGTTCGCAACGGGACGTCAAAATCGTCATCGGCGTCATGAACGCTCAGGTAGGATGGGAGGCAATGTATAGACCAGCAATTGGGCCAAACAGCCTGCATGCCGTATCGAACGACAACGGCCAACGATGCGTGAACTTTACAGTCTGCAGGGTATGGTAGTTCGAAGTACCTTCTTCCCCCGCAAGGATATCCACAAAGCCACCTGGAGATCACCTGACCAACACACAGAAAACTAAATCGATCACGTTCAAATCGACATTATCAACGTCCGCACATACCGCAGTGCGAACATAGATTCGGACCACTACCTAGCTGCAGTATGCATGCGCTCAAAACTCTCGACGGTGCATAACGCGCAGCAGCTGGAAGTTGCACTACCCACGGAAGAGCAGCTTGGCGCAGCTTCTCTTGAAGATGGATGGAGGGACAATCGTTCCGCCGTAGGTAGTACTGCAGTACTAGTAGTAGTGCCGACTAGGTACTGCGATCCTGGACCAAAGAAATGACTGGTTTAACGGCGAATGCTAACTGTTAGTAGAGGAGAAGAATGCAGTAAGGGCGAGAATGCTGCAATACCGCATGAGATTGAATGTGGAGCGATACAGACAAGCGCGGAACAGACAAAACTCGGTTTTCCGAAGGAAGAAGCGTCAGCGTAAACGACACACGGAAGTTCTATGAGAAGCTAAATAGTTCGCGCAAAGGCTACGTGTCGCAAGCCGATATGTGCAAGGACTTGGACGGTAACCCTCTCACGAACGAGTGTGAGGTGATTGAGAGGTGGATGCAGTACTATGACGAGCACCTCAACGGTGAAGCAGCAGAAAACGAAGGTGGCACGGCAACAGACCTTGGAGCACGCGCAGAAAACGACAGGCTACCGGCCCCTGATCTTCAAGAAGTTGAGGAGGAGATCGGTCGGTTGAAGAACAACAAAGCAACTGGTGTAGATCAACTACCAAGTGAGCAATTACGGAGGTGAAGCACTGGCTAGAGCGCTGCACTGAGTAATTGCCAAGATTTGGGAGGAGGATATATTACCGGAGGAGTGGATGGAAAACACAAAAAGGGCTACCGCGTGATCACACTGCTGAGCGCCGCCTACAAGGTACTCTCCCAAATTCTATACCGCCGCCTGTCACCATTTGTAAGAGAGTTCGTGGGGCCATACCAGGCGGGATTTATGGGTGCCCGCGCTACCACGGACAAAATTTTCGCGATTCGGCAGGTTCTGCAGATATGCCGCAAATACAACGTGCCCACACATCATTTGTTCATCGATTTCAAATCCGAATACGGCACAATCGATCGAGATCAGCTATGGCAGATTATGCACGAGTACGGATTTTCGGATAAACTGGCGCGATTGGTCAAGGCGACGATGGATCGAGCGATGTGCGTTGTTCGAGTATCGGGACACTCTCGAGTCCCTTTGAATCTCGAAGGGGGTTACGGCAAGGTGATGAACTTTCGTGTCTGCTGTTCAACATCGCGTTACAACGTGTGATCAGAAGAGCTGTTATAGATATGAGTGGCACGATCTGCAGGAAGTCCATCCAGCTTCTTGGCTTCACCGATGACATTGACATCATGACACGGAACTTTGAGACGATGGCGGAAACGTACATCAGACTGAAGGCCATCAACGCATCAAAGACAAAATACATGAAAGGAAGAGGTTCTAGGGAAGACAATGTTAGTCTCCCGCCCCGAGTTCAGATTAACAGTGACGAAATCGAGGTGGTCGACGAGTTCGTGTATTTGCGCTCGCTGGTGACCGCCGAAAATGACACCAGCAGAGAAATTCAAAGACGCATTATGGCAGTGAATCGTGCCTGCTTTGGACTCCGCACAAAGTTGGCTCTCTACAAGACGCTGATTAGACCGGTGGTCCTCTACGGCCACGAGATATAGACTATGCTCGTGTTTTCGAACGGAAGGTGTTGCGTACCATCTACAGTGGAGTGCAGATGGATGACGGAACGTGGAGGAGGCAAATGATACACAAATTGCACCAGCTGCTGGGAGAACCGACCTGCGGACCCTTCACAGACTTCGAGGCTGGCGAAGTGTGGCCATGGATCGAGTAGAGTGGAGACGACTTCTTCGGACAACAGAGGACAACAAGGCCTTAGCCTGATTGGTAAGGTAAGTACCCAATTTGAAAAATCACCGGAACGAGGGGTAAGACAGCGAGATATCGGGTTTCAAATGTTCTAAAAAAAATTCCTCAAGTAATTTTCAAAAAAAAAACTTTTCGACGACAATGTCGTAACCTGCTTCAGTTAGGCAGTATACAACCTACAACAGGACAACATACCAACATTCATAAAGCGGGCGGTACCAAAAAATTACGACGTGTTAGGGTATAAGTTTGTTCGAAACGCACAGTGTAGTTATGCAACGTTTTATGCAAATCGGAGAAGGTCGAGCCTTATTTTTTTATTTTTTTATCCTATTTGGCCTGGAACTGATCATTTTGGATTTAGAATAATTTTCTATATGCTGAAGAAGGTTGAAAATTCTGATTACTTAATATTCAGGATCATGGCACTATTAACATATAATTCAAGACGACACTGTTTTTGGCAGATTTTGAGAAATTGTCACAATTCAGAACTCCAAATAATACGCTTACGACTTAAGATTTTTTTCAGCATTCAGATAATTTTTACAATCTGACTTTAAAGAGAAACATTTTATATGCCGGAACTCATAAAATCTTTCCAATATAATAGAAGTTTCAGAAATTGGAATAATCAAGATTCTACGACTTGGCAATGATTTGTTTTCACACACTAATCCAGTCAATATGGTTTTACTTGGTTTTTGAATTGCGGAACTGTTCGGTAACTGTTCATTTAATGATAGAAAATAAAATACGTCGATTTCATTGATTCCTTACGGATAACGGTAATTTCAATTTTTACCGACTTTTTCAGCATTTCAGAAACCCAGTATAAAAATACTGACTCCTGTAAAATAATCTAAGTGTGTAGTGAGCTTCTTCTTTTATAACATACGAGCAGTTTTTTAAGGTTTCGTTTTAGTAATGGATTGTGACATCTCAGAATTGTGGAGCTAAACTCAAGCTGAACTTTGCATTAGGTCCTCAGTAACATTGATCGATGTTCAGCTTGAATTGTGTTTAGCTTAAGTATCTGTCCTATGCAAAAACAATCTGCTCCACATTTTACAAACCAACAGCCTTACGTTTTCTTCAAATGCCCTAGGAAAACCGTTTGACTCTTTCAATGTGAAACGGTTTCACGAAACGACTCACCTGCCTGATCAAGGACTTGATCAGCGAAGGAAACAGCACAAGACTGAACATCAACCCGCCGACCAACGTACAGACACTAATGATGGCAATCTTTCTGATGTTGATACCGTCGAAGTTAATCTGTTCGAGTTTTTTCTTTATCTCGTCCATCTTCATAAAATATGATTTTTATCCCAGACAGTTAGCAAAATATTTCGACAACGGCGACCACTTTAGGACAGCGACAATTCACACTGAAAACAAATAGTCAATATGGCGTTAGTCGTGAAACCTAAATTTATCCCATGTGGATGCAATTGCCAATTAAAACTTTCGCTTTCATTGAATAATTTGTAATAAGCAATTGAAATATTGCAATTTCATTTAAAATAAATTCAATAATTAGTTATGACCAAATTGAAGGTAAAAAAGCACTAGAAGCCAACTAAAACTTCTAAAAATTGATATTGGGTTTCAAAATTACTATGTTCTAGCTTCACTTTAAATTAAACACCAAACACCAATCACAAAATATCCATCACAACCACCCTTCTGCACTTTCCAACCGATCGGCCTTTTTTCACGTTTAGTCGACCCGACTTCCCAAAGGAAACTGTCTTTGCATATTGCACCGTATCATCCTCCAACCTATCGAGTAGCGTTTAAATTTCCCGGTGTTTTCAAGTTCAACCTCCAGCCCCAGGGATGGCCCATTTAGGGAGTACCCCATCCCAATAAGAGCGACGCTACAAACAAAAAACACACCCCACGACAACCGCATCATACGCGCGAGGAAGACAGTCCCCGCCCTGCCCGTGCGGACCTCAGATACTCAAAAATGCACTTTCATTGCAGGCAGTGCAGTGAAATCTAAGCTGTCTCATCCTCCCACTCCGTAAACAATTTGTCATGCCTATAATTACCTTTGACACCGATCGCTATCGAACCGGGAGGCGGACGTGCTCCAATGACACTGTGCAAAAGTTGTTACAGTAACATAGTGTAGCGATGAAGATGTTTTCCCACGGGTGACATTGCCATGAAGGTAATTTCTTGAGACGCTGGAGCACAAGGACATGGATACGTTCGAAAGGCATTGTTTCGACAGTTTACAATTACTGATCACATTTATTATAGAAAGATTCATGATTCTCACCAACGAAGAATTGCATCTGTACAATGTTCTTTTGCTTCAATTCTATAACCAAAGTGCAACCATGCGGATGCGAGTGCTCTCGATTGATAACGACAAGGTTGACAGAATCCATTAATGGTCATTTAATAAACAAAATTATATGGATGCCATCAACTTTGGCCATAAATTCTTGAAACGTAAAACATAATTCTGGTACCAATGTCCAAGATTAGTACCGCTCCTTCGAAGGTTTATTCAAACCATCGATAACGGCCGGTAAATTCCTGCTATTGTTGATGCTGACCAAATCCACCGGAGCCGCCACTTCACTTCCCTTCGGTTTGTCATCATCCTTACCGTTGATGGCTTCCACCGGGGTGACATTTACGGTTTTGGACGAACGCTTGTAGTGCATGAACCCGCCACCGATTGTTCCGATCGTTCCGATGATGATGGTGAGCCACTTGACCGTGGCGTTGAACTTGAGACCGCTGGATATTGGGGATAGAAAACAGAAATTGGCACTCATTATCATAGTAGGGTAGCCCACCTAGTGGCATCCTATCGAGTAGAAAACATTAAAAATATCTATGATTTCACGGGAAACAATGCATAGTGGTCCAGGGTGATAATCTAGCAAAACAAATGACCTAGTGCTATGCTATTAAGTTTTAGAGGTTTAGTTTCTTATGTGAACTATTTCAGCTAAAAAATCTCCTTCTTTGGGCCGTTTTTAAAATTAGCTGTGTTCTCAAATTATTGATATAGATTAAACTAACATTTATATTCTCGAAAGTAAAGATGCATGTTCTTCAGCAATGTTGTAGTTGAGATGATTCCAAGCTATTTACTGAAGAAGCAAATTGTCATTGAAGTATCCCAAAGTTCTAGTTCCTTATTGAGTGCTTATCAGCCAAAATGGAATGACAATCACCGATTCAGGTAAAGGTAAAATAATTTTCCTTTATTTTACACTCATGAGCAGTATTAGCCAAAGAATCACAACGGACAGTGTTGAAAACGATAATGAGACTATCATTCCTGTTACATATCCAATAATGATAATCTTCAACCATCATCATCAACTGGCGTCACTGAAGAATCCTCAAATCAGGGGAGGATAATTTGCTTATCTCAAGATTCCGACCGTTCAGAAAGTAGCTGTATTTCGGCAAAGGTTGTTCCGATCAGAGATGCCAGATTGTTTTCTATGCGATTCCGTAGACTTATTCAAATCTACGGATTTCTACGGATTTTTTGACATAGGACTACGTCTTTCGGGAAGATGGGGGTACAATTTATGAAAAGCGAAAAATGAAATTATGAAAGATTTTGAACGTTAATAACTCAGCTGCCCCTGGAGCAATTTCAATTATTTTATTACCAATCGATCAGAAACATTTCTACGCATCGATAACAATGCTCTTGACTGTTGATTTTCAAATTTAAACAATTGAAAAAGTGGTATATGTCAAACATTGTCCAAAAGTGTCGAAATAACTAACAAATCCACCATTTACGTACATGCATGTGCTGCTTCCCCAACACAGTCATCAGAGAATGGTTCCTAGATGAAACAAGTCGAAGTGACATTCGCCTCCGATCTTCGGGTGTGTACGAATAGGGAGGATACAATTGCGGAACATTTTGTTGCCAATTCAGAACCACACGCCCGCAACGACCAAACAAAATGCTGTTTTTTCCTAGGATTTGTTTTCCGTGCTGAGAACCAATGCTACCCACACCCATGCTTGGCATACACAGTTTTGGTCACGAACTGCTCATTTGCTAATAACTTTGCACACAGTTGACGGAACATAGTTCTTTTTGAAGCAGTAGATATAATAGAGTGTAAGCTTGTTAAAGATATGTAAAATAAAGTAGATTTTAATGCTAGTAGTAAACTGTATTTGTTTTTGCGTTGTAAAAATGAGGTGAGAAATGCTCACTACACATCTCGGAATTTAAGTGTTAAATTGATTAGTGTTGATTGGCTTTAATGTTTAATCTTCGCATATCTATAGTAAACAATGAGCCTAATCTATCAATTACTTTAAAGAAAAATAAATTTCAACATTTGAGTGAAAAGTTATTACCAAATGAGCAGTTGGGTGTGTTCAACTGTGCATGCCCACACCTGGACCCTACCTATCGACCCATCAACTCATGAACCGGGAACCCCGAAGGAAGGCGTGATCAGAGATGTTATGCCTCAGAACTTTCCGGCAGCGTTGACTGGGATTGAACCCAGCTCTGCCGCTACCATATATTCTCACTTCCAATTGGCTATATTATATAGCCAATTGGAAGCGAGAAAATATGGTACCGGCAGAGCTGGTTGTCTATATAACAGGTTGCTATCTGTGCTTTAGGCTCGTCATTCTCTGCTTGATCGTCAAGCAGTTCAGTTCGGTGTTAGCTCGCTCTCTCGAGTTGTTTGAAAAGTTCATTGCGATAGTGTTCGCGCTCTCTCTTTCGCGGTTTGTCGTGCGTGTGTGTGTGCCCCGTAATGGTGAAGCATCGGTCACGAAGCCCGGCGAAGGTCCAGAACCCCGGAGAAGGAAGCTCCGGTGTGCCTAAAGGGTGTCCACGATGAAATTGCCACACACAAAATTGATTCGCAAAATTCGAGTTTTCATCCGATTGCCATCAAATTTTCAGGGATTGAGAAATAACTATTAAACTTCATTTTACCATTTTACTCGTATTTTATTTACAGTCCATACGCAAATGCCCGCACCTTGGCCTTAACCCCGGCCATAAGATTCTGCACAACCTGTGAATCAACCGTTTTTTGCATGTAAACCCATACTTTCTTCAGTTCCTCGACTGTCTTCACTACCTTAGGTCGTTTAAGAAGGTGCTGCTTCATAATCGCCCAGTACTTCTCGATGGGGCGGAGCTCCGGAGTGTTGGGAGGGTTGAACATTTTCGGCACGAAATTGACCTTATTGTCCGCATACCACTTCAGCACGTCCTTGGAGTAGTGGCATGAGGCCAAATCCGGCCAGAAGATTGTTGGGACGTTGTGGGCCTTCAGGAGAGGAAGCAGCCGCTTCTGGAGGCACTCTTTTATGTACACCTGTCCGTTCATCGTGTCCTGGGTCACGAAAGGTGCACTCCGCTTCCCGCACGTGCAGATGGCTTGCCAAACCAGGAATTTCTTCGCAAATTTGGACATCTTCTGAGTGCGGACATGCTCCGGAACGCTGAACTTATCCTTGGCCGTGAAAAACAGGTTGCCGGGGATCTGTTTGAAGTCGGCCTTCACATATGTTTCGTCGTCCATGATGCAGCATTCAACTTTCGTCAGCATGTTGAGGTACAACTTCCTGGCACGGGTTTTGGCGGACTTGTTCTGCTTCTCGTCGCGATTAGGGGCCTTTTGTACCTTGAACGTTCGAAGCCCAGCCTTATTTTTGGCCTTCTGGACAAAATTTCGGCTTAGGTGCAGCTTCTTAGCCACATCCCTAACGGAGGCGTTCGGATTTCGGTTGAAGGCCCCAACTACGCGGTTGTGATTTTTGGTGTTGTACGGAATACTTTTTCCTTCACTTCTGGGCTTCCGATCGGTGGTCAACCGTTCCTCGAACCGCTTAATCACTCGCGACACCGTGGAATTCGCGATTCCCAACATTTTAGCGATGGAACGATGCGAGAGATCCTTGTTCTCGTGATGAATGCGCAAGATTTTATCACGCACGAGCTGTTCTTTCGACTCCATTTCCGCGAGTTTTGATCACAGGATTTTAAAACTTGCAGGATGTAAATAATGCACTATGAACTAAATCCACCCAAATTTTCATTAAATTCTACCCAACGGTTAAAAAGTTAGAGCAATTTCATAGTGTGGCAATTTCATCGTGGACACCCTTTACCTCGAACAGGTTTGCTGTTCTCCCCATGGATGGGAATATCCAGCCAGCTGTGTTGGAAAAACGCAGTAAGAAGAGGAAGAAGAATCGAGGCCAGTCCGATGTCACTGCGACGAACAACAGCGATGTTGGAGATTTCGGTGACGCTGCCGAAACCGTGAATACTGCCGAAATGAGCTCGGCAAAAGTGAAGCTACCTCCATTGGTAGTGAAAAATGCCCATCTTAATGTGCTCATTGCGGATCTAGCGACGCTGGGTGTTAAAGCCGAATACAAGTTGGGCAGAGTCGGCACTAAAGTGATGCTCCGTACCAAAACGGAGTTTGACGTGGTCGTCGCCCACCTGAGGACTTCCAAGGTGGAATTCTTTACCCACGACATTCCCGGTGAGAAGCCGTTCAAGGTCGTCATCAGGGGCCTACCAAACTTCGACCCGAAGTTTATCGAATCAGAAATCAGGGACCGGTACAAGCTGGCCCCAAGTGCCGTGTATCGAATGACAAGAAGAGACGAGAATGTGAAGGCGTATCCGGATAGCCTTTTCCTGGTACACTTCCAGAAGGGAACGGTGACGCTCAACGCACTGAAAGCCATCCGGTCCATCAATTCCATCATCGTTCGCTGGGAGCCATACCGTGGCGGCCATCGCGATGTGACTCAGTGCCAGCGGTGTCTGAACTTCAGACACGGTACCCGCAACTGCAACATTAAGCCACGCTGCGGAAATTGCGCTCAAGACCATGCCACCTCCGCATGTGCTGCGGATGAAGCTGTGGCGTCCAAATGCGCCAACTGTGGTGGTGCTCACCAAGGATCCAACAAGCAGTGCCCTAAACGCGAGGATTTCAAGCGCATCCGAAATCAAGCGTCCACCAACAATCAACCAGCACGAAGGAAGGATAAGGCCCCGGCTTTCAGGACAGAGGACTTTCCACCTCTTCGTGGACAAGCGAATCCCAGGGTGCGATCCGCGCCCCCTCAAGAAACGTCTGGATCTTCTGCTGGACAAAGCTCTCCATCCCCCCCTGGATTCTGGAGGCAACCAACAGCTCAAACAAACAATCCCGATCTGTTCTCAGCAGACGAACTGATGGAGATTTTTATCAACATGACCGGTGCTCTACGTAAGTGCCGCAATAAGCCCGAACAGAGCCAAGTGCTCGGTAAGTTCATCATCCAATATGGTGTCTAAACCGCTAACCATCGCTACCTGGAACGCTTGCTCTGTAAGAGCTAAACAGATTGAGCTTGCCGACTTCCTCCGCAAGCATAGCATCGACGTGGGTCTTCTAACCGAAACCCACCTAAAGTTCGGTGACAGCTTCTGGTTGCCTGACCACAACATTATCCGGCTTGATCGCACCAGCTCCAGGGGGGGTGGTGTAGCGGTCATCGTCAGAAAGGGAATCAAGTTTTGCACTCTGCCCCACATCCGCACTTCTATCATCGAGGCCATTAGTGTGGAAGTGGAATCACCAACTGGAAACGTCCGGTTCATCGCTGTTTACTGCCCACGCCAGTGTACCGCAAGCAACGGATTAGGAACCCAATTCAAGAAGGACCTGACCGCCATCACCCGTACTAGCTCCCGATTCATCGTTGGGGGTGACCTGAAC